TTTTAAAAAGCAAATAGATGAGTTGGTGGGACACACAGAAATAAACTAGACTAGCTGCATACTTTGGCAACATGGTCGAAGATCCGCTGGTCGAAGTCCTGTCCACCAAGGTGGCAATCGCCACCGACTGCTCTGACCTGCACATGGCAGCCCCGGACAGAGGCAACCGTCACATCAAACGTGCCACCGCCCAGGTCGTACACCAGGATGCGCTTCGTCACATTGGGCTTCATTTGCTGCATGGCGTAGGCTAGGGCGGCCGCAGAGGGCTCCGGCACCGTGCGGTGCACCGTCAGTCCGGCCAGGGCACCTGCAACAAGAGCGAGTCAACATCAACACAGAACATGTAAGGACCGCACCACGATGTAGTAATACGGTGAAGGCTCTCCGGCCGGAAGCGGGCTAAAAGGCGGCCGCGGAATGACGGCACATTCGTAGTTCCAGAAGAGCCACCAGTGGCGCTGGCGTCGACTGATGCCGGGCGAGGGGAGGCGGGAGGGGTCGGGAGCGTTGCCCTGCTCGTCTCGTCCCTTCTCCCCTCGCCCGGCATCGGTCGACGCCAGCGCCACTGGCGGCTCTTCTGGAGCTACGAATGTGCCGTCATTTCGTGGTCCCCTTATATATGTAGCTCAGAGCCGACCGACGCCGTATTTACTACATCGTCGACCGCACAATAAACCGCAACGGTCCTGATTCTGCTCTCACGTAGAGAGTGCTGATAAAGAAGGTTATCACTATTAACAGCTCAAAGCTGCTGTAAAATTGAGCTCCTCGGTCCTGGTTCACGGCAAGAAAGTTAGTTCAACACCGTTACGTTGTAAACGTCTTAGATGAAACAAGCCAAAGGATAGGGTGCATTCATAATATAGAGAAGTCATTCTGTTAAACCGGTGGTCAACTGTATTTAACTCGTGTTGATGCTTATGCCGTGGATGCTGGCAAGGCACGTTTGGTAAGTAGCTAATTACAAGAACTGTCCTTGGACTTTTTAGAGTGTTAACACTGTGCAAAATAGTCGTACCGGGTACAGGGAAATTTTCGAGATTTTCCATGGAGGATGTCGCACAATTACAATTGAGAGAAACTTTCAAACATTGCATCGACTTGGAATCGAATGACGAGAAAGAGTGGGAGGTTGTACCAGGGGGTAGAAACGAGGCGCTCCGTATCGGTCAAAAGTGAGAAGAAACAGGCAAGTGCTCTGTTCAGCTCGCGCGTGGCCGCGTGCGCGCATGGTGGACGGCCGGAGCACCTCGTATCTATCCCCTGGTTGTAGTACATGTGCGACTCATTTTGTAATTTGTAAATTACAAAATATATCGTACATGTACGAAACAGATTTTTCACAGTGGATCAACCTGTCTCATTACGCAGTTTTCACTCTGGAAACCCAAATGTGCACATGTATGCAGTATCTCCTGAATACCCACACAGGAGGTAATAGTTCACCCAGAAAATTTCCTCGAAACAAGGCAGGAATGCCTTGATCCCACGCTGTTTTTAACTTGAAAAACTACAAGGAAAATTGTCTTTATCTCAATGAAAATATTGTTAGAGTTAAGTAAAATTTTCATTAAGTGAAAACTATTTCCGTGAAAACAATAATGTGTAATGCCAAGGTCAAATATGTCCTTCTATTTTATTTTTTTAATGAATTTTTTGGGTGTGTCTACATGATCAAGTATTCAGGAGGTAGAGAGCGTGTGCCACACGTACACACGTTAGCATATACCTTTGAATCATAGGGCTCTACGTGTACATCGGTACTGTACTGGACATCCAGAACACACAACCTCCTGCATAAATGCCGGCAATCAGGAGGCACTGCATACAAATACGCACTTCAGTTTCCAGAGCAGTGTATAGGAAGTAGTTACCTGCTTTTCTTGTGGCATCTCGCTGTGTCGAGTTGAAGTAAGCAGGTACAGTTATGACCGCTTGGTTTACACGGTAGCCAAGATATGCCTCAGCGACTGCTTTCATTTTCTTCACCACTTTAGAAGATATCTGCGCACACCGGTGAGAAATGAGCCCACTATTATGTACAAGAATATTACACGTTTAACTGAGTGGCATTCGCGCACACTGTTAAAAATTCCTTAGGATTTCTCGGAGATTTACTTTCAGCCACTACTAGAAATTGCCAAAGGACTCCGTTCTTAATTTTCACGAGGTGAAACAGCTGTTGACGGTCAGTTGTTGGTTATTAGTTATTAGTCGTTTATCGATACCCCCTATTTAAAGTCGCTCACGCCGTAGGGGGCTGGGGACAACAGCTCACCGCGTTTGGCGCTCCCGACTATTGGTATCGTTCGAGATGGGTGAAAATTCTCTTTCGGATGATATCAATATTACATTTTCGTTAAGAAAGCGACTTAAACGGTTATTCAGAGCCTCTCATGCGGTGAGCGGTTGTCGGGGAGCGCCGAACGCGGTAAACGGTTGTCCCCAGCAGCCTAGGTAGTGAGCGATCTCGCGAGATGATCTCCCATTCTAGACGAAAACTTCTTACACGTTTCAAGGAATATTCTCAGAAAATGCAGGGCTCCGTAACTTATAACTTATCTGCCTTCGACGTTATTTTTAAGAGTAAAAGTTACCTTGTAACTTTAACCGTAGTCCTTTGGAAATAAGTTAGTTATTTGACGCTAACGTCGAAGCATAGTGGTCATGCTCTAATAAAAATATTTATTATTGTTAGGAGGAACGGGGTAAGATTGGTAGCTTTAATCGTTATCCACAATGACCACATTGTGGTCACCAACGAGCATGACCACATTGTGTGCCTTAAAATTTTTAATTGTACAACATGTTTAATTTAAAATGTTCCTAAATTCCTACAAGTATTTTTCACATGTTAATAAAACTGAAACGTAAATTCATAAAAAGATAAGGCCGTATCAGCTGCTTCCACGTTAGCGCGAGCTTAGGTTCACTAGACAAGCACTGATTTATTTATTAGAAGCTTATAAAGGTTTTTATGCAACAGGATTACTGACTAATTTGTTACTTAGTCTGTATATTGCTGTAAGTAACTCACTGATAAAAGGAAAACTTGTCGGCAATTAAAAAATAAATTATTTCCTATTACTGATGGAAACAGATGTCAGTAGCTTATAAAGGTTTTTACGCAGCAGGAATACTGACAAGGGGTGAAAAAAATCAGTAACAGGATGAGAGTGCTTTTTCCTAAGTTTGCACAATTAAAGGGTTACTATTACTTTTAATTTGACATATGTTCTGTTACGTTGAGTAACGTTCGTTCGTGTTCTGATAAGTTACGGAGCCCTGAGAAAAGGTGGAAACATCCCACATTGTTTAAGATCTGTTCAAGATCTCGAGCTTTTACGTTGATTCGACACGAACAGTGCCTTCTCGCAAAAGGTTAAGGAATAAATAATATACAATACGCACTTACCTCTTCAGGTGAAAATTCTTTTTCGGCATCGTTGTGGGTCACTCGTATCCTTATTTTGTCCTTTTCTCCCTGGACAACCGAGAAAGGCCAACGTGGTAAGTCTGCCTGCACAGTCTTGTGACTAAAAGTTCTTCCAACCATGCGCTTTGCGTCTGTAAGCCAGTGCGTATCAATACTTGTTAGTTCCGTTGGTTGGGCAGGGGCGTTTTTAGGAGGGGGGGGGGGAGGGTGCTCTTACTGTGGTCTACTAGCCGCTTAACGACAGGAAAGATGATCTACAAAACCCCTGTAGGTAGGCAGGGGTCTTATGATACTTTGGCAATATCTCAGGAAGTAAGTTTAACAGTTGGCGGCTCTGATAACACGGAAATATGTTCTAGGATTCCAAGGTTATTTCAAGAATTTCAAGGCTGGGGGGAACTGCAATGTCAACCCTTTCTTTGGTCCCGGCTAACTCTAGCCCGCGAA